ATGCATGCATGCATATATTCTTTTTTTTTATTTCTTCAGATCCAAAGGTGCTGTAGGTCAGTCTGATTCCTGCAGTCATTTAGTAGAAATGTCCTTCAGAAATCAGGAGTCAGTTTAAAACTGCACACAAGTATAGATTTGTGGCACGTTAACGGGTTAATTCAGAACTTCAGAAGATCTGTGCAAAGGTTATGAACAACTAATATCTTACCTGTTGCAGAAATATCTTAATTATTTGACCCCAAAATGCCCTAAAAAAGAAGAAAAAGCATATTAAAATACAATTAAATGCTTCTTGAACACTTTGGAGTAATTTCAAAGTAAAAGTCTGAGCTTTTTAACTTCAACAGTCATAAGAAACCATTTTAGTGGAGAAACCTCTTCTGGGTCACTTGTAAACTGAGAAAACACTAAGCTTGCTATGAAATGACATTAAAAATTTGCAAATTCAACAAGATCAAACAGCAGATTTATGGCTTACAGAGTCAGGAAAAATCTCCTCTATGATCCTGAAATAAAGTTTAACATTAATCAGTTTGGAGCAAATACATCAGATCTGTATAAGGACATAAATTTACCAGTTTTATTTTTCCACTCGTGATGTCACGCATAATGTTTACATTATCTGCTGCTCTCTCAGATGATTGGACAATCGATCATCTGGAGGTTTAGTGTTAATATCATACTAAAAAAGATGTTTCCAGAGTGAATTTCAACACATCCGACTTCAGGAATCACAGGATCAAGGTCTTTGACTGACTTGGAAAACGAGAGCAAAACTTATAAAAGGTTGAAGTTTTTATTGCGTCTTATAGCTTAGCTTTGGGCATCAATCACGTACGGTTTAATAACTCGAGTCACCGCTTCTGCATCATTTAAGGAAACTCAGTGGTGTTGTTGAACATTTATGTACTAGTATTATAACCGTATGTGTGACTGACTGCAGTGTAGCCATATGAGGCTAGCATGGATGCTAGTAGTAAAGCTAGCTGTAGGCTACATTACAAACAATAAGGTTTACTGTACCTGTTTATAGACAGACAGTTCAGAGACAGGATCCGGGTGGTCCTGTGCTGGTCTATTACCTCCAAATGTTGGGAGCAGTCATCCATGGTTGCACTGTTTCTGGTCAAACTCGTCTAGTCCATCACTCAATCCAGCTGTTAGCTAGCATCTGGGGAAAATTGACTAAAAATGTTCCTTTTCCACGTGGTGACGATGGCTGTACCCTGACACGTTACAGGAACTGTAGCATGATGTTTGGTGGTCTCCCCAGAGTTTGATGCTGTTATCCCAAATTTATTTAAGTTTAAAAACAGTTAAACCAGTGAAATCAAAATACATTAAATTTAAATGATTTACTTGACTTACATTTTTTAAAAGAACTTATATTATATATGTTCCTGCCCATTAAAGGATGCAGATATTGATTACTAAATTATGAGTCTACAACACCAATTTCTTCAAATTTGCTATAAATATAATAAAATTTATGTGAACAAGTCCACGTCCAACAAACAACACAACATGCAAAGATTATAACTCCTAAATGCTTCAACAAAGACACTTCACTGAGGACTGAAATGAAAGGTGATAACCAGATAAATCATATTCTAACATCCAGCATGATTAAAATACAGAAAATGATCAATAATCAGCTAAATCAGCTGGGGTTCATGTAGCCACTAAACACAGGTAAAACACAACAAAAACAAATAAATCCTTACATTTTCAAAGCATTTATATCCAAACAGCTTATAAACCAACAGCAGTAAAATATAAAATGTTTTCCACTCACCTTTAAAGAAGACCTGACTGGATGAGTGGAAGAAAACAAACATGTCCATTTTCATAAAATCCAAGATGGCGGCCGAGGGTTTTCTAAGACATTTCCTCATCATAAAAATTACTCTTCCTTCCTCCTGAAGCACTCACAACACCTTATAACAACTGTACTTCCTCTTTTCAGCAAGTTTTCTCAGCTTTTAAGAAAAAAAGTTTATTTTCTACATCTCCTTTTCCTCACTGCCATGTGCTAACATTTCTTCTTCTTCTTCTTCTTCTTCTTCTTCTTCTTCTTCTTCTTCTTCTTCTTCTTTTTCTTCTTCTTCTTCTTCTTCTTCTTCTTCTTCTTCTTCTTCTTCTTCTTCTTCTTCTTTTTCTTTTTCTTTTTCTTCTTCTTCTTCTTCTTCTTCTTCTTCTTCTTCTTCTTCTTCTTCTTCTTCTTCTTCTTCTTCTTCTTCTTCTTCTGGTTTAATGGCGGTTGGCAGACTGTTTTAGTGCGTTACCGCCACCCTTAGACTGGATGGTGGAACTGGAGAAGGCAGCAAGAAGGGAAAAAAACCATTCAACTAAATAAACCTGTTGATTTCAAAAATAAAATTATTTTACTGAATATGGTGGCAGATTTATCCTCCAAAAGCACTGATAATGTAAAATTCTGCTGTTTTCCATTATTTAATGACCTAAAAAGATTCTTCTTCTTCTAGATTAATTAATTTTTTTTTTTTGGTGTTCATTATCGCCACCAACAGGTATGGAGTGTTGTTCAGATGTTAAATATTTCTAAATTGTTGTTGTTTATATAAGTGTATATTCTAACTTTATTAAACAATTTGAAAACAACTTATCATTTTTATTGATTTGCTCCCTAAATGCTTTTGTAAAGAGTCTATTGTATTTATTTTATCTTTATTCCTTTTAAATTCTTTCCTCATAATTTTTCTCTTCTTTATATTTATAACATTCAAATACCACATGTTCTGTTGTTTCATCCTTTCCACAGTGGTCACATTTCCCCACATCATGCTTTTTTATTTTAAATAGAGAATGATTGAGTCCTGTATGTCCAAATCTTAATCTTGTYATTAATCTTTCCTCTTTCCTTCTTCTTCTGCCCCTTTTCATTTCTGCTACCGTCTTTTTGATTCTATGAAACCATCTTCTCTTTCTTTCTTCATCCCATCTTTTCTGCCACTCTTTCTTGATTGCTAACTTTTCACTTTGATTTCTCCTCTATGAAAACCTGCAAACCACACCCACCTGCAGAGCATGACTTTGACTGGCTACACGTCTGTGATGTCACAACAAAGCTCAGAGATGATTGGTCCGTTATGATGGTGACCAATCAAGCAGGAACTTGTTTCTTTTAATTTCGGTTCTGTTTTGCCCCCTTTTTTTTACCTCGGTGTGTTGTTCGTGCTTCCTGTCTTCATTTGTCAGTCATACAATTCAACCAATCAGTGAAGGCAAGGCAACATGCTAGCCAACTACAGATAGAGGGGGGCGGGTCACTGACTTGATTCTGAAACGGCTATGGTCATCCTTGGTCGCGCGGCACGGGCAGGTCCAGATAGAGTGTCGGGAGAACCGGGAGTTTTCCCGGTGGCCTGCCTGTTCAGCTGGCTAAAAGGTAGGCAGGTAGGACAGAGGGTCTCAGGTAGGACAGAGGGTCTCAGGTAGGACAGATGGTCTCAGGTAGGACAGAGGGTCTCAGGTAAGGCAGGTGGGAATGAAATCTAAAATGTTATTTTGAGTACATTCTAGTCAATTGTGTGAACTTAATGAAATAAATTACTGCTATAAAAACATAATGTTCAGCATGTTTAACCCTCCTGTTCTGTTTGTTTCTGAGGAACAGCAGTTGGACCTGGGGAATGTATAATCATGCAGTAGTTTCAGAAACCAAAAATAATCCCCCAAAACATTTTATGTCTGATTATTATCACCGTTTCTAACCATTTCAATCAATATTTGTGTGTTGAAGTTTATTTTTTATTTCTCACAGATAAAGTCAATGGGGACATTTCACTCATTTTTCTAAAACAAAAAAAATGCACATTATATTTTATATCCACTGAAAGAACTGACACACACACAAAACAATAATTATACATGAATTTTATTTTTATTTATTTTTTTTAACATTTTGATTTATGTGTATGTACACACAGGGTGGGGCGGGGTAGCAAATATATAAAATGAACCATTTCAGTTTTTTATGTTGATTATACTTAATAAAACAAATAGAAAGAAGTTTTATACTGAAAAAATACTTTTAACTATTTTAAAAAATTAAACTTTAAAACAAGTCAGTTCGACCCACAACATAACAGGAGGTAATAACTTTATTTTATTTTGTCGAGTATACCAGTGAAAGACTTCTTTAAGGAAGAAGCGTGTACAGAAAATGGATGGATGGATTTAGGAAGAGCTAGAAATTATTTTTAACAGTTGGGATTTTCCTAGTTAAATAAAGAGCAATAAATGAAGCTGTCGATTCATCCATCGTTAGCTTTCTAATCAGTTCCAAACTTCCATGAATCAATCTTTACTTTCAGATTAAGAGATTTTTATCCTCAGAGTGGTCAGAGCCACTGTTCAGCTTGAAGCAGATAAAATGTTTGTTAAAAGAGTGTGCCCCCCTGAAAAAAAATGGAATGGCCCCCTTTAAATTATTTCTGCAGCCGGGCCTGGACCTACAGGATCATTTTAATACTCTGCTAATTCAAAGCTCCTGATAGAGCGTGAGAGGCTGTGAAGGAGGCAGAAAAAGGAACAAGATGGCGACGATGGGTGAGCCACAGCAGGTCGTTTGTTTTGGGGTAGTCCCCGTGAATGTCGGGGTCCAATAAACAACCTTAGGTGGGCTTCGAGTGGTGGTTGAGGATTATTTTCTGCACACGACTGATAATGAAATGTTAGAACCCAGCGGCTCTGTCCTCCTGTAACAAAGTCCAATCATTTGCTTCTTCTGTCACATTCAGTGCACAAACTGTGCATCTGCAGTGTTCGGATGTGAGAGAGAGCAGAACTCAAGAGAGGCAGGAGGAGAGCGAGAGAGGAGGGAAAAAGAGAGAAATGTTGTCCAGGAGTAAGATTGTTACAGTTTTCTTTCTGCCTGCTGGGAATGAGTTGGTTAAGGAGAAGTCAGGATGATTTATTGGGAGAAAAAAGGAGGGGAAATAGGGAGAAGAAGAGCAAGAAAGAGAGATGAGATGAGATGAGACGCCATCGGGGAATCCCTCTGTCTTCTCCAGAACTTCCTCTCCTCTCACGAGCTGTCCATTTAATCCCCCCGTCCTCCGTCTCCTCTTCCTCTCACCTGCTTCAGCAGCTCTCTGTGAAAACTTCCTGCTTGGTGTTTCTGGATGTAGGCCGTGGTGGTCCACCTGTCTGCTCTGAAGCTCCTCTCCACCCCTCGTTAAAAGCCAAAGCTGCTGCAAATAAATACTACTGATGTATTTTGAATGGTCTTTTGTTGTTCATGATTCCATATTTTTTTTCTCAGAATTTAGTGATTCCATATTTTTTCCCTGTGCTTGGTCAATAAAAGTAACATTCACTGACTTCCACAATGTTTTCTCTTCATTTCTTTGAGTGTTCCTGAAAACCAACAAGTTGACCTTTGGAATGACCTCATTATTGTCTCATGTTTTTGATCTGAGTTTGTTTTACAGGATGAAATGTCTGAATGAGTGCTCATCCAAGACTGATGATTCCAGACTTTTTGCCAGGGCTTGTATAAAAACTAGAAAAAAATATGCCTGAATAATTCAGTTGTACTGGTTTATATACAGTATATATATATGTTTACCTGAATCTGGTCTTTTCATTTGTCCTGATGTTTAAAAATAATAATAAATAATAAAACTCACAATATAATTTTTAGTTTTATAATGTCACCTCCACTGGCCAGAAAGTTTCCAGAAAAGGCCTCAAAAAGGCCCACGAACCACCAGTTAATAATCACAGTTGTTTTGCAGCTCTGGATGTCTTTTATTGGCACTTCAAGAAGCAGAAATGGCTCTTTTGATTGTAAAGGTTGCAGACCTCGGGTCTAGTTGTTTATAAATGTGTGTTTGAAATTATTAATACAAGGAGTGAAATTAGATTAGATCATGTTAGCAGTTTGTTGAGCACTGCAATAATTTAACTTCCAGACTTACAAAATCCTTTTTCCTCAAATCCATCAGGATTTGTTTAGATCACCTGTAAAACATCTGAGTAAATAATGTGAGTTGATTAGATAACTATAAAAATTAAAGAATGTTTGGTAACATTTTATAATAACTACATCTTATTTAGTTTTACTTAATCATTGATAAATAACAAGTCAACCTTAAAATCATCCTTCATTAAGGCTGATTTATGCAAAGCCATAAATTAACACATTTAATAATAATTTACCCTTAAAGGCTAATTACTTCCAAAACCAACCTGCTCCTTGTTTATTCATGCTTCATAACTTATAAACTAACTGTTTATATGTATGTAAATGTTTATATAAATGTACTTTCAAACCGTGTATTAATGGTTTAAAAATGTTTTGTTAAATTTGGTATAAACTATATATTTTTCATGTTTACATGAATATGGTATTTTTATCCTACATTTTAAAAATACTAATACATTTTCATCAGAATCAGAATCAGAATACTTTATTAATCCCCGAGGGAAATTATAGGTACTACAGCTGCAAACCATTCAGATCAGAGAAATGTGAAAGAAAGAGAGAAAGAAAGAAAGAAAGAAACAAACAAACAAACAAACACACTAGAATAAAATAAGTATAAACACACAGGATTACAAAATAAGCACACTTATGTGCACATAAACAATGTACAATAAAAATAATAGAAATATCAATAAAATGTGTTCAGCATGAACAAGAGGTGATGTTTGGTGTTTTGCACATGGTGAGTGTCGTGGGTAAAATACAGAAAGTTAATATCGAACAAATAATAAAATGCATTAATGTAAATGTACAGATGATCTAGTTTCACATGTTTAGGGAGGAGTTATAGAGTTTGATGGTCACTGGTAGGAATGACTTCCTGTGTTGTAGGGAGGATGGTAAACATTGTCCATGATTCCCAGCAAAAATTGACTATATGTTTTTAGTTTCATAATTTCACCCCCGCTGGCCAGGAACCCCACCCCCAACAGACTCAAAGTGGCCCGGGGGCCACCAGTTGATACCCACAGTGTTTTATTAGTGAGGGGAGGGGCAGAAACAGCTCTTTTGACTGTAAAGACTTTTGGCGTCGTGGAATTTGAAGTCATTAAACAGATGCTGACTGTGTTCTTTACAGACTTCTGTCAGTCCTAATA